CCTCACCATGGGGGCCCCGATCTGCCCCCCCACACACACCCCTTCCCCCTCAACAGACTTACCCCAGCCAGATGCTGCTCTCCAAGCTGCTAGGATGCATTCCTGGCTCTGCATATGAGGCATTTATTGGTGGCATTATCAGCCACATCAGCCAAAAAAAAGCCAATTGCCGGTAACGTCAGTTTTCCTTTGATCAGTATCGATATATGGAATGATGTATCAGTGCACCTCTACAGAATACAAACCCTGAGTTAGGACTCTAGTCCTGAACACTACAGATACGTTAATAGTTCACCACAGGGAATACAATACAACACAACACAATAGGCTTCCCACTGGAAAAATCATGCTAAATTTATACATACAGTAAAGAAAGAAGTACCACAGAAGCGGGCACACATCCCTCGCACAAAGCCTTCATGTGCTTGTATGGTACGGATGCACTGTCGCTTGGTCAAGTTCCAAATTTTAACCTGTAAAATATATACCAGAGTTATTTTCTTTACATGATAGTTTCCTAGCTCCCTATTTCTTTTCACACTAAAACTGTAAAACATCACAGCAAGTCATGTCAAATAGACACCATTTGCTTGAAGGTTCATTGATTTTAAGAAAGTTAGTTCCAGACACTGTGAACCAAAACCTACTCATCGATTTTCTGTGTTTTTTGGTTTTCTAAATCATACTTCCTTAAAAAAACCCAAAAAACCTCAACTATCTGTTGAAATGAGTATTGATGCCATGCTAGCAAGAATTTGATTCTGCATATGCCCCAATCCTGTCAACTGCTGCAAAAAGTTGGATTGGCTTGTAGTGTAAGGACCATATGGAGTACAATGAAAAGGACTGTTTTGCATATAGTTGCGTTTCAAAATATTTATGAAAGAGCACCCTAATTAGATGTCAGTTTAGCCAGTTAGAAATTTCTGTGCGCCACCAAAAATCTAACTATTCACCATATATAACCTTATCCTCACCACAAGCAGTTGTGACTTAAATCCATTCAGCTACCTCTAGTAATTTTTTACTTTTCTTGAAAAAATTAAAAATATACAATGGGGAAAAAAAACACAAATCTGTTTTGAAAAAAAGCCAAGTCAGCTTATGAAGAAGAAAGATGGAAAAATCTTTAGAACCAACAAACAATCTTCATTCTAACAGTTAATTTAAAGTTTTGCAATTTTACAGTTTCATAGTGAATGTATTAGGTTGGCATTTTCCAAATAACTTCTCCAATACTGGTTTACTGCTGATAAATATTTATGTTAGCTTTTTTGTGGTTCATTAAATCACAAAAAAGCCTAACTTTCTTTTCCTCTTCAGATTTTGAGTCTGTTACATTCTGTGTTAATGCCCAATATCTCTTCCATTCTAACTGCATTAGCAATATACCCAGATGAATATTTACTGTATTTTAAGACAAGTTTTTTCCCCCGGTATTGCTGTGTGAAAATACATATATTGGAAGCAGCTGATTACATAAATATTTTATATACTTTACATAAAAAGTATAAAAACCAAAAGCACAGGTGAATGGTATGGTGTTTGTTCTGTAATTGCTTCCTATTGTAGCACTTTTATTTGCCATTATAGTAACAATGATACCAAAGTGTCAGACTGACTGACAGTTATCATACCATTCTAAATTAACAGTTAATTACCCACCTTTTATGTGTAAAAGTAAAAATATAACTCTAGTTACTGAAAAAAGGCCATCCAGACAAAAGAAAGAGCCACAAAATAAGGCACAAACATTTCTCAGGGTTCCATTTGTTTATGAATTTGCACTTGCCTCTCCATCACAAGCCCCTGAAAGCACTGTAGACAAGCTTTTTGGATGCTTGGCCATGCAGTTAACCCCATCCCTGTGGCCATCCAACGAAGCAAGTAAAGGTTTTGCAAACACACGTTCTAGTTTAGTTGCATTCAGTGCCCGCACATACTCTCGTGGAACTTCAAAAGGGTGTAATGCAGGATCATAGTTTCTTGGAACTGGAACAAAACAGATACAAATTTATATGAATTACTTGATGCTCTCTGTCAGGATGAGAACAATACAACAGATTTTTTGTGTTCTTTTGGTTCTTCTTCAAAATTGATCCGTTGGCTCCTTTGTTAGGGTACTGTTTGTTTGTATTTAGAATTTGCCCCATTAGCATTTCAGAGATTCAGAAATTATAAAGGACACTGTCAATTTTTTTAAATTACTTATCAGATTACTTGTTCCTATTTCATTTTTTTTCCAGGACTAAAATCTGTCCCCACACTGTCTGTCTATCAAAGGGACAGGCCATTATTTTGGGAGGAGGGCCACTTACCAAGTTGTGGCAAGCTGTTGAGGGCTGCGCCCCTTGACAGGTGCCCTGCTCTCTGGTCACCATCTTGGGACCAATCTCCCAATGTCGGTGGGGCCCAGAACGGGGCGCAGGCTGACAGGGGTCTGCGGAGCCCGGCTGGGCTGCACCACCAGGGAAACGGGGGAGCTGGCCCAACTCCATAGAGCTCCTGCCAGCTGGCACCCTGTACCCCTGCCGCCCTGCTCTGGGCCCTGCTGGCTCTGGCCTTGGGACATGGATGCAGGTCCTGCTCCCATACCCCCTCACTCCCAGTGCCCCCCCTAGCCCTGCAGTACAGGCGGGGGGCAGCACACAGCCCTGACACCCTGCTCACTGGCAGGGAAGGAGCTGGTGC